TGGACCCTGTCCCACCCGTCCGTCTTCAGGCAGTAGGTGGCGGACACCCTGAACCGGTTGCCAGCCAATCGCAGGGCACATAGAGACGAACAAGCATCCACGCTCACACCTACACCTAGGGACAATTAAGAGCAGGGGTGCCCAAACGTTTTGGACCGAATATCGACTTTTCGATCAACCAACCTCCCGCGATCGACTCGTTACCGTGCACGCACATACATACGCACGTCATGATGAGCAACAGCCTGACACGGAAGCATGCGATGCACTTTTGCAGCCTGTTAACGATCGTAGCTCACACGTGCCATTTTAAAGTGCTTCCCTCGGCCTAGATTCCTATTCTTTGCCCGTGCCCTCGGTGAATTGTACACAAAACACACTCTAAATGAGAATAATGATAATGATAAAGTATATAGCGCAACAGCTCTGATCACAAGCTGCAATTGCAGACTGCTTAGCACTAACAACGTCCGGTGACGCAGGTTAAAGATTTACCTGCTTTATTTTATTTTTTTAATACTTTTTGTGAAAATGACACTGATAGAATGATTAGTGTACATTAACACCAAAAATATATTACTAACATGCACAAAGACACACAAATGGTTGTTTGTTGTTTTTATCCTCTACACCCCTCGCAATCAACTTGGGACGAGTCCGTGATCTACCGGTCGATCGTGATCAACGTAATGGGCACCCCTGATTTAGAGTGTTCAATCAGCCTACCATGCATGTTTTTGGAATGTGGGAGGAAACCGGAGTACCCGGAGAAAACCCACGCAGGCCTGGGGAGAACATGCAAACTCCACACAGGGAGGCCGGAGCTAGAATTGAACCCGGTACCTCTGCACTGTGAGGTCAACGCACTAACCACTGGTCCACTGGGCCGCCAGTCTTAAATCACATCGCCAAATGTTTTATTTTATATATTTTTTTCCCCCAGTTTTTCCCAAAACCTGGAGGATATTTAATAGTTTGACAGCTGCTCAACTGAATTGTTTTTGGTGGCAGTTAATGTTATGAAGCAGTTTTTCTTGGGTCAACGTTCACCAGTAGTAAGATCAAATACACACCACATTTAGTCGCACAACAAATTCAAGGTCTTGTTAATTTAAAGGATTTCCAGATTCACAATGTTGTCATCATGCCTTCAGATGTTGATGCAATTGACCAATAACCGGTTTATACTGGGAAAAGTGTACTGCTTGTTAAATCACAAATCAATATAAAGCCATTGAGCCAAAATGAACAATTAAGGTTTGAATGCATTGATAGACAGTTATAAGTGACTTCCGACAATTTTATACAGTATATTGGTTGTCTTACAATTAGCTATGTGTAAGGGATTTTTAAATATGATATACTTCAATCATTATCTATCATAGCCATCCATCCATCCATCCATTTTCTGATTCGCTTATTCTCACAAGGGTCGCGGGCCGTGCTGGAACATATCCCAGCCGTCTTTGGGCAGTCGGCGGGGTACACACTGAACTGCCAGCCAATGTATCATAGCAATTCAGGGAAAATGAACTCAAGTCATCTTTCATAATGATAACGTTATTATAAATTATCAAGGAAAACGTTCCTATCACAGATTTTAGTGGAAGGATGAGTAAGCTTCACAGGAATAAATGGTCATTGCACACTTGAGTAGCATTCACACATCAATGGGCTGATGCCACTTAAGGTGCAGAGGACACAGTTTCAAATGTCACGAGGTTACTCAACAACCTGGCAAATCGTGTCTGTCACTATTATGCTGCTGATTGACGTGTGGCTTTTTCAACTGGCAGCTGCTGCTGGAGGAGAAGCTGAACACCGGAGTCTTGTCACGAGACGTGGCCGTCTTTGTGGAGCTGCTGTGGACTGAGGCCCTGGGTTGCCTAGGCAACATCCTCAAAGTTCCTGTTAGCAAACTCAGCCTCAATGACGTAAGACTTTCCTGATTGTACCACGATCAGTGCGTTGTTTTTTGCAAACCCAGAAAAGATGGTGAATATTGATTTATCTTCACTAATATCTTCAATAAACCCAATATACAGTTCTGACTTGTCAGAAAAGGTCCACCAGTGGTTTCACAAAATATAGTGATATTTGGCTTTCAGGTGAAATATATGGAAAATATAAAAAGTTCATGCGACAGTGATATCATGAAAATAGGTAATTTAAGTCGAAGGATGCTCCGGTGGTTTTGTCATCTCAAACAATTCATTGAAACAAAAGTTAACAGCAACGGTGGGTACACCACAACAAAAAATTTCAATGCCTTAATAACTCATCATGTGCCTTTGAGCATCAATTACAGCTGGACAACGACTCATGCTGTTCACAAGGTGACTTATTGTCTGCCGTGGCCTGCCATCCCACTTTTCTTGTCGGGCAGCCCTCAGGTCATTGAGGTTCTGGGGTGCTGAGTTTCGAGCCTCTACACGGCGACTCAGCTGATCACACAGGTTTTCAATAGGATTCAGAACTGGAGAAAGTGCAAGCCATTACATTTGAGGTACACCAGCCTCCAACAGCTGTGTCCTGATGACGCAACCTCAATAAGATGGAGCGTTGCAGTCCATGAAGATGAAATTAGGCCCGTGTTGTTAATATGGGGGCATAATCACTGGATTAACAAATTGAATACCGCCCTTTTTCACTGGAGCAACCCCCTCAATCCCTCACATTTTACTGAATTTTGACTGATTTGCAAGGCCCACAGAATTTTCTGTTCTACGGCTATATAAACATGCGACCTGTCAGAAGAAAGATGAGACTCTCTTCTTTCAGCAGAAAAAAAAAGTTTGTTTCTATCTTTCTCTGTTCGTTGGATATCAGGTTTAGAAAATTGTGAAGTTTTATGGAAAAGGCAGATTTTCTTCAGAAATCCAGAGAAAATTTGCTTTTTGTAAAAGCATGCATTTCAAGCATCATTTCAAGTTCATTGCGCTTTTGCACCACTGCCACCTGTTGGCCATTTTTTACTATTTAACATTGCAGTCAAGCCTGCTCGTTCAGTGAGAAGTTGCATTAGATTCTCTTGCACCCTCCCGCATGAAAAAACGTGATTGACGCCTTTAGACATCATGGGGAGGTGGGGACTATGCGTTAATTGACGCTTTTAGACGTCAAAGTGTTTGAATGAGTGAATAATGTTATTCAGGTAGTTTGGGCTTCTCACTGTACCATTCACAAAGTGTAGGGCAGTTCTGTCCCGACTGGACGCACCTGCCCACACTGTAACCCCGCCACCACCAAAAGCTCATCTGGTGACAACAGTGGCTGATGCATAGCCCTCTCCTTGCATCGTTGGTGGCCATCATTTTTGCTCAATGTGAATCGGCTTTCGTCAGAGACCACTGAGGCACACTGGTCCCTCTTCCAGCGTAAATGCTCCATGGCCCATGCAAGACGGTAATGCCTGTGCCCGGTGGTGTGGTCAGGTACCCTTGCAGGTCGTCTAGCACGCAGACTGGGCTGATGTAAACGTTCGAATGTTCTGACATGACACTTGGGTGCCTCTAACCTCCCTCATACGTGCCTGCATTTGAGGTGCATTCATCATCCGATTCTATCAGGTCATTGTTCCCAATGGAGCGGTCATCAGCATGGGATGTGGCCAAAGGATGTCCACCTCTACATCTTTCTGTCAAATTTTACAAGGTGGTAGTTGCAGGACCCCAAAAAGCAAGGAGGCAGGGAGGAGCAGGGTTGACTGTCCAAGTTGTATTGAACAAAAATACAAACAGGAGTACAGCGATCCCTCGCTTATCGCAGGTAATGGGGACCAGAACCCCCCGCGAAAGAGGAAAATCCGCGAAGTAGGTACCCCCCGCCCCCAATGGATGTACAGGTATAAGTACATGTGTATGAGTATATATATTCATAAGGCCAAATTTAATGGTATACATGCATGCAGAAGTAAATGTTTATAGTAATTAACATTACTTAATGCTATATACTAATATATATATATATATATAGAGAGAGAGAGAGAGAGAGAGAGAGAGAGAGAGAGAGAGAT